TGACATTTCACTTTGGACGGACCTGTAAACTCTTGTGCACCCGTGAAATTGATCGAGTGAGCCGCTTCGGTCACAGGTTCGGTCTTCACAAGTGGCCTGTACCTGCTTGGCTGAGCACCATTCGGTGCCTACACCAAACCCAATTGCGCCAGAATATCGCCAACGGATGTCAGCTACCCCTATCACGAATATGGCATTCACTTCCAACAGCGGTCAAAAAGGGATGTTATACTAGAACACAGAACGCCAAATGACCCCAACTATACCTATTTCGATGAAAAGGTTATGACACCAAAATGGAGCCTGCGCCAATGTCTTGTTTGTCATCAATGCAGCGAACTACCCTCGCATTCAAATTCCTAGCAAGGCTTTCGTGAATTTCGGCATAGTAGTAGTTTCACAGCGCCAAAATCCACCTACCTGTGAATTTTTATTGCTGTTGCCATATAGGCTTGCACCAACTCGAAGTCTTTTCTGGTCTTCAGCACCTGAAAAACGTTATGTCATTTCATTAATATGGCGGCTTGGGTCACCAACACAAATTATTTCATTAGCTAGCAAGGAAGAAGCCTGCTCCCAGGGGATAATTGAGACATAGAAGACTTAGCGTCAAAGCCAAATGAGAAAATAACGGACTGGCCGGCAGCGGGAGGGACGCAGAGAGTGATGCGCGGCGCGCCACTTGCCACTACACGGTCTCATGACGATTTCAAACAGCAGCTGAAGCAAATAATTTGAAATTATTGCCAACTTACCTCTGTAAGCATTTTGAAAAACTTGGGCAATAAGTCTGCTGGTAAGGTTCGTAGCTGAAAATCGATCGCAGAAACAGACATCTTTTTCAGACTAGAGAAGACCTCGAAAAGTTCCTCATTGGTGTCAGCTCTGCAAAGGGCTTTCTTAGAAATAAATAACAAAAACAATTATACAGAGCGAAGGAAAACAAAATTAATAAGAACTCACGCTCTCAATGAAGAGCTGAATGAACTTTCAAGTTCTAGTAAGCTTCTCTTAGCTTGTAACGTCCGTCGCGTTTCTTCCTCATCATCCTCCGGAACTTGAAACTCGAATCCTTCAAGGGTTGGAGCTGCTGTCAGGAAGAACGGTGCCTAAATAAAGAGTTCTTCTTGTTTGGCACTCGTTCAAAGGTTTTTTCCTGTTGGGCCGAGACTCGTAACGTTGTGCATTCGCCATTGATGCGCCGTCTTTCTAGCAAAGGCGGGCGCGCTGATGAGGAAAGCGCAGTGTTCTTGGTTCTCCGCCCAAGTCTCCATTCATCTGACTATTGCGGAGTCTTCAATCGAGCTAAATATCACTGAAGGGAACAATACTCATGCCAGATGTAGTCACTAGAAGGAAGTCATAGTCCACGATGATCGGAGCGGGGCGGAGATAAGCCTGCCATCGTTCCTTCCTCATTGGGAACCCTCCTCCTAAAGAGGACTGTTCCACCAGTGAGTAAGAACGCGCTCATACTTCGCGATCCAATCGCTTTGCAGAGATTGGATCGCGTGGCCACGATCGGAGACGCGCCACCGTCAATCGGTGGACATTGCAACAGCAGAATTCAATTGGTCCGCGTTCGCGCACCCTGTTAGTGAGGCCCTATTTGAACACTGCACTTGCAGCGGCCCGCCAAATGACGGTGTACTGCGCCGTGTCGTGGTCGCGCGATCCAAGCGATCGGATGTCGAAGCATGAACGGGCTCAAAGGTACAACGGCGATGAGTCTTCGCCCACCAAACATTGCGGAACCTGCCCCTTACCTATCCAGGTTAATAATTCTTAACACCAACCTGTTTCGTCTTTCTCGCGGGTTGATCAGGCTTGTTTCTTTCTTTGATTAGTGCGAGGTCGGGTAGATTCGCCCATCGGGATGGAGCCAATCCAGAATATGTCACAAGTGATGGGTTAAGCTGAAACTTCGTGTGGAGATACCGATACTCCACTGTCTTCAAAATGGAGCCAAAATGGAAATGTCGAATAATTCGTCGAAAAGGTGACTACCTGGTCAGGGGCGTCCCATTCGTCATCACTATCGTCGTCAATTACATACGTATTGACACCAATTTCCGCCACACATGAGTCTGCCCACGTCGGTATGTAATCCAGTGGGAGAGCTCGTATGTTCACATGTGATGCATACATCTTTTTGTTCACCCAGACAAAAATCGCTCTTTCACCCTGTAAAAGGTGGGAATGAAGAGGGATATGATGATGGAATAACTTTCGGCTTCAAGCAGAGGTAGCAGCAGACAGACAAACATGATGTGGCGTGTGTGGTCTGCCGTTTGGCACTCCCGAGCTGTCGTCACCCCGGAAAGTCTCATGAAACTCCAATTACTAGCGAAAATAATAGTAGTAGAGGACGGACGATTATATTCTATTACATCCTGACGATAAGTGAGATAAAGAGGGGTGTTGTCGACGATGACCCACTTCTAGGGCAGCTATCCCCCCCCTCCTCTAATCGAGCACAGCTTCGAGTCTACTTGTTGTCAGTCACCATCTACTTGTTACTGTAAAGGGTCAAAACCCAAGTTTACAGCACCAATCCGGGATGAGGGGACGCAGCAAGCGAGGTTATTAAACAACTTCCATTCTGTGTTCGCATGTACCTTCTAAG